GCAAGATAGCCATTATGCTAACTGCTAGTCCCAGTAATTCTTTTTTTAAAAAAATTACTTATTTTATTCCATTTGTTATTATTATTATTATTATTATTTTTTAATTTGACCAGACAGAGACAGAGAGAGAGGGAACATGAGAAAGCAAGCCGCCAGGTCCAGGACTGGAACTACTGATGGCCATGTGGGAGTCCAGCGCCTTTAACCATCTGCCATCCCATAAATATTTCTTTAAAAAAAAAAATCCCCCGTGTTTATTTCCCTTATCTGAAGGAGATGTAAACCCTCCCCTCCCAGGCTTCACGCACGCCCCCCCACCCCCACCCCCACCGCAATCCCATCTGTCCCGTCATCTTTCCCAGCTCCGGACCTTCACTAGACGGATCTGAGCCCAGCGGCTCACGGGCAGAGGTTTCGGTCGGCTGGGTCTGAAGATGTAGGCACCCGAGGCCTGCTCGCTTTCGTTGTCACCCATACTGGCGTTGTACCTGGGACCGGAAGGGTGAGAGTCAGGTCAGGGGCGCCAGGTCCGAGCGCCGCCCTCCGCTCCCTCCAAGCCCGTCGGTCTTTCCTCACCAGAAGAAGGCCTGGCGAACGGGCAGCAGGAGTTTCTGGTCCAGGTTCTCGATCTCCATCAGGAGCCCCGTGTCAGGGTCAAACGTAGCTCTGATGAACTGGGCAGAAAAGGGCAGAGAGAGGGCAGAGAGATGGGAACCAGCAGTTAGCATAATGGCTATGTCGCTGGACTCCCACGTAGTCGAACACAGTTCGCGTCCCGGACCCGGTGGCTTAAACTCACGCCGGGCGCGTGTGCATGCGTGCCCAAGATCCCGAGAGGAGAATGGAGGAGAAGGGATTGCGGCGTGACCATCCCCCCTGGGGGGTGATTTCTCACTTTCTGTCTCTATGTCTCTCTCTGTCTGTCTGGCAAGCGCACGCGCCCTATAGCGAAAACCTCTCAAAAAAAAGAAAAGGCGCACAGAGATGTCAATGACCTGGACCCTGACAGCTGTGCCCTTCCCAGGGCTCAGGACAAAACCTGGCCGTCGCCCTGGCCTCACCTCACTGGCGTCCCCACATTGGATCACTGAGCAAATCCTAACGGCCCCATCTTCAGCCTTAGCCCCAGGAAACCACTTCTTTTTTGTTTAAGTTTTTGCCATAGCGTATGCGCATTAGTAAGGAGAGAGAGAAAGTGAGAAATCACCCCCAGGGGGATGGCTACACCACAGTCCTTTCTCCTCCATTCTCCTCTCGGAATTCTGGGCATGCACGCACGCACATGCGTCCGGCGTGATTTTTAAGCTGCCGGGTCCAGGAATCAAACCATGTTCATCCAGGTGAGAGTCCAACATCTTAACAACCATGCCACTTGCTGTTTTGTTTTTCATTTTTGTTTGCTTGTAAGAATTTTTTATTTTATTTGTCTTTTTTTTTTTTTTTTAAGGGAGATTTTTGCTGTAGGGTGTGTGCACTTTTCCAGAGCCCTTAACCACCACGCCATCTGCTGGTGGGTGTATGCACTTGTCTTGGATAATAGTCACAAAAATCAATCAGGTCATGGAGGACCAGCAGGTAGTGTGGTGGTTAAGGCACTGGACACTCCCACATGGCTGACCACAGTTCAAGTCCTGGATCTGGCAGCTTAGCTTCCCTTCTCACTTTCTCTCTGTGTCTCTCTCTCTGGTCAAATTGGAATAAAATGAATGAATAAAATTAAATTAAAATAATTCTTGAAAAGAAAGTCAGTCAGGTCAGAGAAAGGTCTCAGATGAGAAATCTTTTTTTTTTTAAAAGAATTATTTTATTTAACTTTACTTATGTACTTATTTATTTTAATTTGACCAGAGAGAGACGGAGAGGGAAACTGAGAAACCAAGCTGCCAGGTCCAGGACTCAAACTGCAGTTGGCTATGTGGGAGTCTAACACCCTTAACCACACCACCTACTGGTCCCCTGGATGAAAAATCTTAAGTGATAGGAATGTTTGCCCAAGAGACACAGAGTAAGAGGTTAAATTGCAAAAACTGTAATGTTACTGTTTAACATAATAGTGACTCACAGATGGTTAGATCATTTTGTTAAACAGTACAGGTTAAACGGGCCAGCAGGTGGTATGGTGCTTAAGGACGTTGGACTCCCACATGGCCGACCACGGTTCGAGTCCTGGACCTGGTGGCTTGCATTCTCACTTTTCCTCTTTTTCTTTCTCTCTCTCACTCTGATCAAACTCAAATAAATAAAAAAAATAAATAAAGGGAAATAAAATAATTCTTAAAAGACAAAAGACAGTATAGGTTAAAGAAAATATGCTGTTAACTCCCCTTCATCTATCCATTAATGTCTCAAGAACAAAAACAGGGTCGTAAGTGTCATGTGACATGAAGAAAGTGTGCAATTTTGGGAAAATGGCAAGTTTAAGAGTAACACTGCACTACCTAGATTTGTGTTACAGATGGTGATGGGTAACAGAAGAGTGAACAGTGTAGAATGTGCAGGAAATTTCTGTGCTGGGAGTTGGTTGTGAGCTTGTTCGCTCTCGGCCACTCCCTGTGCTCCGAGACAGCTAAATAAACTCTGTTTGGGGGTCGGCAGGGAGCATGGTGGTTGGGACAATGGGGTCCCACAGAGTGGATTGCGGTTCAAGTCTCAGACCTGGCAGTCTGCTTTCTCACTTTCTCTCTCCCTCTCTTTCTCTGATGAGCACACATGCCCTAAAGCAAATTAAAAAATAATACTAGGGGCCAGAAGGTGGCATGGTGGTTATGGTGCTGGCCTCCCACATGGACAACCACAGTTTGAGTCCCAAACCTGGTGGTATGCTTTCTCATGTTCTCGTTCTCTCTCTCTCTCTCTCTCTCTCTCTCTGTCACTTGGTGAGTGACTTGCCCTATAGCAAAAGTTTTAAAATAATGGAGCTTTAGGGGCCAGCAGGTGGTGTGGTGGTTAAGGCGCTGGATACTCCCACATGGCTGACTGCGGTTCAAATCCTGGACCTAGTGGCTTGCTTTCTCACTTTCTCTCTTTATGTCTCTCTCTGGTCAAATGAAAATAAATGAATAAATAAATAAAGTTAAAACATATCATTCTTTAGCAGATGGTGTAATGGTGATGTTGCTGGACTCCCACATGGCCAACCATGGCTCAAGTCTCAGACCGAGGTGCGTGTGCACACATGCCCAAGGTCCTGGGAGGAGTGTGGAAGAGAAGGAATTGGAGCGTGGCCATTCTCCCGGGGTGGTTTCTCACTTTCCCTCTCCTTGTGTCTGCCTGTCTGTCCCTCTCTCCGGTGAGCGCACATGATCTAAGGCAAAACCTCTACTAAATAATAATAATGATGACAAAAATAATAAACAAAATAACTTTTTAAAATATCACCTTATCAAGAAGGCCTTCCCTGCTACACATCCCCTCTTTAAAACTGCAAACATCAGGGGGCGGGCAGGTGGCACAGTGATTAGGGGTGCTGGCCCCCCACATGGCCAGCCACAGTTCGGTTCCAAACCTGCTGGCTTACTTTCTCACTTTCCCTCTCTCTCTGACCAAATAGAAAATAAATAGATAAATAATGTGAAATGAAATGGCTCTTTAAGAAAACAAAACAAAACAAAACACCCTGTAAATATCAGACCTATCTGTCAAGCATATCCGATGATCACATTGGGTCCTCATCCTCGGCTCAAGGAAGGACAGAGAAACTCAGAGGACGTCACTCACATAAGAACACACGGCTGGGGAGAGGCATGGGTGGCCCGTGCGCCCAGGATCCACTGACCAGAGTCCGTGCAGCTCACCTGACGTCACGGGACCAGGTAAGAGGATGTCCCTGTGGTCTCACCTCATTTTTGATGGCCAAGACTCCAGACCAGGACTTCTGGGAACTGGGCTGGGGGGCGCGGGCCCGGGGGTTCCGGCTGAGCACTGGGGATACTGAGTAGATGCTGAAGCCCAGGGCGGGCACGGAGGCGGGGAACAGCAGTTCCGGACTGACGTCCTGACGGTCTGAGCTGGGAAGTAGCACCACCTTGCGGAAAGGAGGAAAACACCGGCTTCAACAGGCTGCGGGTACATGCCAAACCCACGTGCACCAAGGAGGGGACGGAGTCCTGGGGTGGGCAGAAGAGATCTAGATGTTGGGACCAGCAGTTAGCGTAATGGCTATGTCACTGGACTCCCATGTAGCCGACTGCAGTTCGAGTCCCGGACCCGGCGTCTTAAACTCACGCACGCGCCCAAGATCTCGAGAGGAGGATGGAGGAGAAGGGATTGCAGCGTGACCATCCCCTCTGGGGGGTGATTTCTCGCTTTCTGTCTCTATGTCTCTCTCTGTGCTCGCGCCCCTATAGTGAAAATCTCTCTCTCAAAAAAAAAAAAAAAAAAAAACTAATTAACCATGCAGAGGAGTAAGATATTCCCTGGGGGCTGGTGTTAAGCGGCAGAGGGGAAAGCTATGCAGGGCGGGAGGTAGTCACGGAGGGGACATTCCCGCAGGGACATTCATTAAATGGGCTCACGTCGCTGTGCACGGTCTTGCCACTCGGGTCCTTCACGGTGAATGCGGTCTGGCTCACAGGCAGCCGCACCATCCAATCCACCTTCCGCCCCAGAGGGTTATACACGATGACCTGGAACTGCGGAGAGAGGGCACCTCACCCACCACGCTAGGCAAAGTCCCTGGGTCATCCCATCCCTGGGTCATCCCGGCAAGGTCACCCCCCTCCAGCCCAAGCCCCTCCGTGCCTCCGTGGGAAACTCGTCTCTCCTCTGGGCCCTGCTGCACCTCACTCCAGTAGGATCCCCTTAAAAATGACCCCAGGGCTCTTTCCAGAGCCCAGCAGCTCAGGCTGCCCCTCCTTTTAGACCCACCCCATGATCTACAGGGGCAGGGAATGGTGGATACCGCCTGCTCTGGGGACCAGCAGATGGCGGAGTGGTCCGACCCTCGGGCCCTGTCCCCACCCCAGTCACCCGGGCTCACGCGCGCCGCCCCCTGGCTGAACGGGCAGATGCTGATGTTGAGTTCACGGCAGAATGAGAAGTCCTCCTTGGAACCGATGAGCCGCGCCAGCGCATTGCTCAAGAGAACCTGGGGACAAAAATGATGGGACCCGTCCACAGCCCACCGGTGTCTCCTTTCTGCCTCCTCTTTGGCCTTGCCTCTGCCCCGCCCCTCCTCCCTAACGCCCCGCCCCTCTAGCCCCTCCTCTCTAGCGCCCCACCCCTCCACTCTAAGACCTGCTCTATAACGCCCCGCCTCTCTTCCCTAAGGCCCCACCCCTCCACACTAAGGTGCCGCCCTGATTCCTTAAGCTCCACCCACCTCCCGTAAACCGCATAAGCCTTTGTACCTCCACCCACTGCCTTCGACCACACCCACACCTGTCCTCTCCTCTCCCAACCTTTCTGTCCTGCCCCCATATGCCCTTACCCCACATGATGTTCTTAGGTGCCACCCGCCACATGCATATCTGTCCTCTGGGCCCTATGCCTGGCCACGCCCCTTTTGACCTAGCTCCTTTCCAAGGCCACACCTCCACAATCTTGCTGGCTTCGGCCACACCCCTACGCCTGTCTCATGGCTTCCCTCCCAGGCCCCAGCCCCGCCGCGTCTCTCCTGCACACCTCGCAGGGCCCCCAGCCTGCAGAGAGCTGCCGCGCATAGTCGTAGGCCACGTGTTGCTTGGAGGTGCCACTGACCGCGTCGTGGTGCTGAAGCACCGCCATTGCTTCATCTGCAGGCACAAAGTGAGTGGTGGGTCGGACAGGGTCTCCCTGCGCGGACCCCAAGGAGAGACCGGAAGGCTCTGATGCAAGCGGACGGGGTTGTTAGGGCCTTTAAGAAGGGACCCCAGGGACGATTTCCAACACCTACTGAGGGGTGCACTGTCTCCGGAGCCATAGGGTCCCATGTTGGCTGCAGGGCCCGCCTGCGCCTCCAGCTGGTTGCACACCTGGAAAGCAGCAGAAAAGTTGGGTCATCAGGCCTTGCTCAGGGGGCCCAGAGGGCCCAGGGCTGCCTCCTGGAGCCTGCCAGCCACCCACCTGCAGGAAGTTGTAGCTGAAGCGCTCATAGCGTTTGAGGGCCGGCCGGCTGGAAAAATAGCCGGTCCAGAAGTTGTGAGGACCGTCAGCGTAAGGGAAGAAGTCATCTCGTTTCACCGACCTGCAGAGGCAGGGACGCCGAACACAGGGTCACAACCCACCGGGGCACAGCAATCCCCCCCCACCCCGAGCTTCCCGGTCACCCCAAATACCAGGTGAGGTTGGCATTGTTCAGCTCCCAGAGGTAACAAGCCGGGGTGGAGTAGAGAACATGGACCCGGCTCCCGTTTGCCTGCTGCAGGAGGGAAGCTGCGTGTGAGCCCTGGGGAGTCCAGACCTTCCCAGGGGCCCCACAGGTGTATAAGACTGAAAAAAGGGACCAGCAGGTGGAGTAATGGTTATATCACTGGACTCCCACATAGGCAACTGCGGTTTGAATCCTGGGTCCGGCGACTTAAAACTCACACCAGGCACATGTACGTGCATGCCCAAGATCCAGAGAGAATGGAGAAGGGATTACAGTGTGGTCATCTCCCCTTGTGGGTGATTTTTCACTTCCTGTCTCTCTATCTCTCTGTCTCTCCAGAGAGTGCATGTGCCCCATAGCGAAAATCTCTCTTAAAAATAAAAAGGGGTCGGCAGGTGGCATGATGGCTAAGGACACTGGACTCCCGCATGGTCGACCATGGTTCTAGTCCCAAACCTGGCAGCTTGCCTTCTCACTTTTTCTCTTTCTCTCTCTCACTCTGGTCAAATTAAAATAAATAAGTAAATAAAGTTAAAGAAGATAATTCTTTAAAAATAAATAAATGATAAATTTAAAAATGAATTAAACTGTGGTATGGGGGCCAGCAGATGGTTGTGGTGGTTAAGGCAGTGGACTCCCACACGGCTGATCATGGTTCAAGTTCTGAACCGGGTGGCTTGGGTATTACACAGGGCGTGTGTGCAGGCATCCCCAAGATCCCAGGAGGAGAATGGAGAAGGGATTGCAGTGTCCTCCCCACTATGGAGGGGGATGATTTCTCACTTTCCCTCTCACTCTCTCTCTCTGATGAGCATATGTGCCCTATGGAAAAACCTTTAAAAAATTGTGTTATGGGGACCAGCAGGTGCATGATGGTTAAGGCGCTGGACACTCCCACATGGCCAACCAGGGTTCGAGTCCTGAATCTGGTGGCTTGCTTTCTCACTTCCTCTCTCTCTCACTCTCACCCTCTGTCTCGCTCTGGTCAAATTAAAAAATAAATGAATGAATAAATAAAATAAAATAAATAATTATTAAAAAAGAATTTTGGTATGACCAGGCCCCACGGAGGGTGCCTTTTCTCTCTTTCTCCCTCCCTCCCTCACATGTGCAAATGTCCCCTGGCATTATTGTTTAAAAAGAGAATCAGCCTGGGCCAGCAGGTGGCATGATGGTTAAGGGCACTGGATTCCCACATGGTCAACAGCAGTTTGAGTCCCGGACCTGGCGGCTTGATTTTTCACCTTCCCTTTCTCTCTCTCTCTCTCTCTCTCTGTAGTCAAATTAAAAATAATAATAACAAATGGAAATAAATAAATAAATCTTTAAAGAAAAAAAAGAAGTAGCCTGAAATCTTACTAAATTTTTAAACTAATTTTAACTTTATTATTAAAAAACTTTTAGGTTGGGGACCAGCAGGGGGCGC